GAGTGTGAGTGAGTACAAAACCTTCCCAAAGCGTCCATTGTTCCAAGCGCTTTCGGCTACTTTCTTAGCCATTTTCAAGGGGAGGGGGATGTTTTGACACAGATATATTATTTGCGTGTTTTTAATAATAGTAGGGGCGTTTAGCATCTAACAACACTAAAACAAATCATATGGAGTACACAAAGTGCCATAAGTCAGTTTTAGAATATCAAACTTGACTGGGAAGCAAAAAGCCAGAAAAGAGTTCCACAGGCGGGAAGTGCGATAGATAAAATCTGCGAGCGTAGAAATTACATTTACATCTTGCCATTTCAACTGTAAAAATGGCGAGACTTTGCTGCCAATCTAGTACTGTTTTTAAATTCATAAATTTTTGGTACCATCAAGGAAAGTAATATTTATTTTGTAAGATACAAGAATGTGCAACAAGGCGAAAAATGTGTGGGGAAATCTGGTCTTCTTTTGTCTCATGATTAAACTTAGCTAGCCACAATTACTGACCCAAACATACAAAAGTATTCTTTACACCAAAACAATATATTCTTACTTACCATTCTTACTACAGACATTATAATCACTCAAGTCTGTATGGAGTCCTAACTAGTCCCCATATGTACAATTCTGTCGGGTGGGGAAGGAGAATAAAAATCAATCATAAAAGAAAGTTCATCAGAACGATTTCTGTTAAAGTAACAATAGAAAAATAAGCAATATATGGCGATGGGAATGTCACTGATTTCGGGTTGTTTTTTGTATCTTACGAATAAACTCTAAATACAATAGCAGAAATATCAAATATGCAACGAGTGGTTGACCTAAAATGTGTAAGATAGATTTTGGAGAAAAAAACTTGTCTAACACGACACAGTGAACCAACATTTAAAACAGTCGACACAGCAAATAATTCAATATAATCTTTCAATTTCAGATTAAATTCGTCAAAAAATCATGGAGTGAATTTAATAAAATCTGAGACTTGAAACCTTTCATTTTATGGATCAACAATAACGCACAAATGATGGATTGCACACGGATTTTGGTCGAAACGCCAAGTTGTGAGAATATCTCGAGTCATGTTCTAGAATAATCTTGTCAAGATCGATAATTTTAATCTCGTTCTGATTTCACAATCTTTTTCATATTTTACTCAGTCACTTCATTCTTTCTCATTCATTTTCTCATCACTTTTTTTTCTTTTTCGTTCTTTTTCTCAATCAAGTTCTTGTTATTTTCTCAACTACATTCATATTTCTCGTTCTTTTTCTCAATCACATTCTTCATTCTTTTTCTCAGTCATTTTCTTTTTTCTCTTCTTTTTTCCTGCTTCACTTTCATCTTCCTCATTCTTTTCCTCAATTACTTTCTTCTTTGTGCTTCTCTTTCTCAGTCACTTTTTTCATTCTCATTCTTTTTCCCAAACAATTTCTTCACTCTCATTCTTTTTTTCATTCATTTTCTTCTTTCTCGTTCTTTTTTTCCCAATCATTTTCATCTTTCTCGTTCTTTCTCTCTACCCCTATTTTTTTCTCGTTCTTTTTCTCAATCACTATTATTCCCCCTTCTTAATCTCAATCACTTTTTTCTTTCTCATTCTTTTTTAAACACTTTCTTTTTCTCGTTCTTTTTCTAAATCACTTTCTTTTTTCTCATTATTTTTCAATTACTTTCTTCATTTTTCTTCTTCTTCTAAATCACTTTCTTCTCTCACATTATTTTCTCAATTACATTCTTCTTTCTCGCTCTTTTTCTCAAGAATTTTGTTATTTCTCTTTCTTTTTCTCGGTGATTTCATTCTTTCCCATTCTTTTTATCAAACAATTTCTTCTTTCTCTTTCATTTCTCAATTACTGTCTTATCTCTCATTTTTTTTCTCAATCAATTTCTGCTTATTCGTTCACTTTTTCTATCACTTTTTCTCATTCTTTTTCTGAATCACTTTCTTATTTTTCAATCTTTTTTCTCAATCACTTTCTTCTTTCAGCTATTTTTTCTCAATCAATTTCTGCTTTTTCGTTCATCTTTTCAATCCCTTTCTTTCTTTTTCTCAATCAGTATCGTCTTTCTCGTTCTTTTCCTTAATCTCTTTCTTCTTCCTTTTCTAAATCACTTTCTAATTTCTCCCTCTTTTTCTCAATCACATTCTTTTTTGTCATTCTTTTTCTCAGTCACTTTGTTATTTATCCTTCTTCCTCTTCTCAATCACTGTCTTCTTTTTCAATCTTTTCCCAATCGTTTTCTTTTTTCTTTCTTTTTTCTCAATCAGTTTCTCTGTCGAGTTCTTTTCTCAACGACTTTCTTTTTGCTCGTTCTTTTACTCAATCACTTTCTTCTTTTTCATTCTTTTTCTCAATTACTTTCTTCTCTCCTTCTTTTTCTCAATAATTTTTGTCTTTCTCATTCCTTTTCAGTCACTTTATTCTGTCTCATTTTTTTTTCTCAATCACTTTATTCTGTCTCATTTTTTTTTCTCAATCATATTCTTCTTTCTTTTTCCTTTTAGCAATCACATTCATCATTCTTTTTCTAAATGACTTTCTCATTCTTTTTCTCACTCACTTACTTCTTTTTTGTTCTTTTTCCCAATCACATTCTTCTTTCTCGTTCTTTTTCTCAATCAATTAATTATTTCTCCTTTTTCCTCATCGCTTTTTTCTTTCTCATTGATTTTCTCAATCTCTTCGTTCTTTCTACTTTTTCTAAATGATTTTCTTCTTTATCGTATATTTTTCCTATCATTTTCTTCTTTCTGATTCTTTTTTTCAGTTACTTTCATCTTTCTCCTACTTCTTCTCAACCCCTATTATTTTTCTCAATCACTTTCGTCTTTCTTTTTTTTTTCTCAGTCATTTTTTCTCTCTTTCTTTTCTCAAAGGTTTCTTTTTCCTCATTTTTTCTCAATGACTTCATTCTTTCTCATTATTTTTATCAAGCACTTTTTTCTTTCTCATTATTTTTCTCAATCACATTGTTCGTACTTGTCCTTTTCCTATACTTTCTTCATTCTCTTTCATTTTCTCAATCAGTATTTTTTTTTGTCGTTCTTTTTCTAAATTGATTTTTCTTTCTTTTTCGTTTTTTTATTGCTTTTTTCTCACTCTTTTTATTTCTCAGTCATTTTCTCAGTCTTGATTTTTATTCGCTTTTCGTGTTTCACTTTTCTTGGATTTATCCAAAATATTTTTTTTACAATTTTTCTCATTAACTTTTCCGACATTTTTTAAAAGTATTTTCTTTTATTCTTCCTTCTCTCAGTTTCTTCATCGTTCATTTTATGCCGGACCATTTCTTCTACTTCCTTTTTAACTTTTATTTCCCCTCTTTATTTTTTATCACAAGTTTTTTCTCTCTTTAGTTTTTTTTTTATCTTTTTTTTCTTTCCTAAATATCCTTCGTTCCTTAAAACAACTATCGTTTATATTCTTCCTCTCTCTTTCTTTCATCCAAATAATTTCTCCTTTCTGGTTGTCCTTCAACACTTCAAAAATCTCACACTGCTCCTAAATGGGCACCATGATGAAATGGCTTATCGAAGACAAAATAAACAAGAAAACAACAATTACTGCTAACGGAACAAGACTAACACTGTAAATGACGATGTCAACGAATAACAAAAAAAAAAAAAAAAAAAAAGAAATAAAAAAAACGCATGCATATTATGAAGGTTTTGTACAGTAATAGTAGCCGTGACAATACGGCCCCAGGCATCATGACTCTTCTGTCAAAAGTCCAGTCGTCAATGGCCGTTCGCAGATCATCCCAAACAATGCAAGAATAAGCTTTCTCGTTTGTGTTCTTTCAAACTACTAGGGTGAGTCGTATTGCCAAAGGGAGCACTTAAGAGTTGCTCTCAGGCCTCAGGCTATTGGGATCGAGGTTTTGAAATCAAGGTAAAGGGTTCGCGAGGAGAGTACCGTATATTGACCAAATGATTATAGAGAAGAAGAATATTTTTAAAAGGGGCGTTAGTTGTAGCAATATAAGAATAATAAATCTCTTCGTGCGTATACTGTTATGTCAGCACTGACATGTCATAAATATTTTTTCTTACCTCACTGCGAAAGAAAGGATACTGATGTACGAATTTAGAATCGAACTTACTTTAGATTACGTTTAATTTAAAATCTTGCATTTCAACATCTTTGGTAAGATGTTCCTTCATTTAAAGATTTCGAAATTATCATCGAATTTGTACAACGTACTTATGCATTCCAAAAGCTAAGCAGAGTACTAAAAAAACAAAAAACTTCGCTAAAAACAAGGAAAAGGGTACTAAGTTCCTCCTGTTGTTGTCAGAGAAGAGAAGTAATAACAACGAAAATTGCAATATGAGCTCTGTAAAAAACATTGGCTAAAGGCATTGGTTAGATCCAGTGACAGGACCCAAAGATTTCAATGTGAGTTCAATAGCTGGGCAGTAAAGAACTTGGAGGGGTGAATTAACAGGAGATAACTGATATCCATTAGACATGGCACGTGGAACTAGAAGAGTCTACCCCAGCGAGCGAAATAAAGGGTTCAGTTCCAACCACCTGAAGAAGTGTGCAACGTTGTGACAAGAGTCCGAATGATGTAAATAGTTTATCTGTCTAGATAAAGTTAAAGAAGAGATTTAAGGTAGAGTAATATGGTTCTACAGAGGGATGCTGAGCATACCATGGTAGGGACATGTGAGCAATGACGATGTTTTCTAGAAATTAGAAACAGCAAAAAAAGAAACATACTTAAAATCAGAAAGTGACAGTTTTTGTGGGATATATAATAAAGATAGGGGGCTTGGAAAACATGACATTCACAAGGCACTTTGAATGCAAGAGAAAGCTTGAGTAAATGGAAGTTGTGGAAAGTCATGATCAGCACATAAAGAGGACTTTAAGGTTAAGGCAAGGAGCATCCACACTTTTTTTTGAAGGGACGAATACAGAGACCTGGTGCACTACGTGCTACAAGGTCCCCAAACAAACCTCCGCAGGTTTTGAATTCAGAGTTGTCCTTCTCCTAGGCCAGTTGCCATCCAAGGCTATAGAACCCAGTCTGTCCTGCTATTTTACCCATAACTGGAGGGTAGGCGGCACGGTAGTGTAATGGATAGCGGCTTGGATTGAGGAATCGCAGAGCCGAGTTCGAATTCCAGTCGAATCCATTGCATTCACTTACGTGCTAATACCCTTGGGAAAGGTATGAATCCTCTCCTTCTCCCTCCAGCTATATATATATATATATATATATATATATATATATATGTTTACATGTCATTTGTTTTATTTACTTATATACGCGTTTAATGAAACTACTTACAAGTCTTTACCTTGTCTAAAAACAAGTTGACTAAAATCTAATCCCGACTTGGTATTTTCTTAAATCCCTGGATAATACCCAATCGCCTCCTCTCAGGATATCTTTTAGCTCGTATGAAGATTTAACACAAAATATACGATTCTTAATCGTGACTTTAATCCTAAACATTGCACATATCTTGTCAAGCCCAAGAGGCCTTTATCAGATTATGAGAATGGAGATATTTTTTCTTTGTTTTTTTATAAGACCATATTTTTTCACTTTCCTCAATTTCGACCTGACAATGACAGAAACAGCCTCACGAGAAAGAGGGACAGCTTAATGCATCGACATATTGTAAACGAAAAATCTTTATTGTGTAATGAGAATCAATATGTGCAATAATGGAGGCTCAACATTTTGTTATTTTGTATGTGTGTGAATATATATATATATATATATATATATGTGTGTGTGTGTGTGTATGTGTGTATGTGTATATATATATATATATATATATATATATATATATATATATATATATATAAACGTTTTATATTGGGAAGCATATGTTTTATATTATAAAGTGGTTATCATACAATGAATCAATTACTAATATTAATGTAATTAATGGCGAATTCTCTTCGCTAACAGACTTAATATAAGTATTAACTTACTAAAAACTCATTGAATTTTTTTAAGAATGTGTTACTTATTAACGGCTGTATAATATTGGAACGCTAGCTGATATTTTCGAAAGTACTTGCTGCTCTCAAAATACACCAGATCCATCTGACAACAATTTTATACATCAGGATCTCGTCATTCAGTGGCTTTAGACTACTCGGCAACAGAAAATATCACAGACAAACATCAGCGAACATTCATATAAGTCTTCATGTGACAATTTAATTTTCCTGATGGATGAAAAAGTTATTTCTAGAGAATTAATAGTTTTTATGTTTAATCCGACATTACTTCTTGATACTTTAAACGTAATATTTTTTTGAATACACATGATTCAATAGACGCTCTGTTGTTTTTTTAATAGTGTGAATTACATTAACTTGAGTGAGCACCTTAGAATCTCAATAAAGCACCTTGGAAGATACGGTATTTAGAGAAGACTTAGGCCAGATTGCGTCTCCTTAAATGGATGGCTCAACCTCCCTGAGTGAGGAAGTTCTTTTTGGTTGATGAGGTGTAAAGTACACGGAGTCGTCTTCTTTCCCATTCAACTGATTGATTTATTGTTTGTTTGATATATTTTACGTTTTATCACCTCTTATTTTTAAGCAGAAACATATTTTCGTTTGTAAGAATAATTCTTTTCTTTTCAGATTGAATATTTCATTGACATTTTCGGAGAATAACAACCATTTTCCCAGATATAACTCATGCTATTTAACCCATAGCTGGGGGAATGGGTTCATATCTTTACCAAAGATTTTTGCGCTTAAGAAGAACTCGACCGGAAGTAAAAAACAGGTTTCAACATTGCCAAAGAGTCATGTTTCCTTTATCAAAATTATTGAATGCGCATAGCTTAAAAGATTTTCGCATTCGCACTTCAAAAAGAACCAAGATACAAGGCATCTTCTAAAACATGTGTATCTAGAAAACTATAAACTTCATGTATGTTAGTGTGTGTGTACGATGCGTTATTTTCAGTGGGTATCCGTATTTGAATAGACGTTCCGTTTATTTATTAAACAGTAGGTTTTATTTTTCTTTAATAGGATTCCTCAAAATAAACAAAAATAAATAAACATACATTGTAATAAATAAAACAAAGCATTTATCCAAATAAGGGTATCCACTGTAATTCAAATGAGGCTATCTAATAAAATTCAATATGGGTATCCAGTAAAATTCAAATAAGGATATCCACTGAAAATAAGGTTTAGCAATAACTAAAAATCCATCACTTTTTCAGAATTAGTTCATATATATATATATATATATATATATATATATATATATATATATGAAAGAAAAATACAGAAAAAACAAAATTCTGAATATGCATTATTCATGTTAAAATAAAGTCGACGTCGGACGTTTCGGTCTATTTAAGACCATCTTCATGGACATTTTCATTTAAACATAATTAACATTATAACTTATAACAATTTAACACAAAAGACGATGGACATTTTTTTCTGTATTTTTCTTTCATACTGTCGGATTTATATCCATATATTTGCTTACATATATATATATATA